ATTGGAGCACGTCCCTTATGCTTGGATCCCCTTTTAGCACAACATGTACTGCATGTTCTGCACCATTCTTCCACATCTTGTCTCATACATATTCAGTAAAATCTCTGTCGTAGGTGACTCGATATCTTCTTAACTCCGAGATGTCTTCCTGTTAAACTATCATGGGATTGATGCAGCACAACTTCCCGTAACATTCTCGGTATAACCGTTTGTCGGGTCGTCACTTTCCCATCTGCAGTTTCCCATCTCTGGATAAGAATACCATCTTCAAGCTTCAACTGGTCCCATTGTGCCCAATAGTCACAGGGCTTAAGCTAGACACCTTCTCCCAAGCAGGGCGCAAAACACTTGCTTTTAGAAAATCAATTATTGGCTTCAAATCTTGGTCTTCCTCCTGCTCTGCTTTAATATCTATATTTGGTTCAACTTCACCATCATCAACTCTTTCAGTCACTTTCACTTCAGCTTGATGACACCTGGCTAGCTCAACCTCTCTTTTGCAGCAATGTCTGCAGTCACTTTCGCAGGGTCTTCGACTCAGTCCATCGGCATTTCCATGAGATTTTCCTTCTCTGTATTCAGTATCCTAATTATACTGGTCTATCTTTCCAATCCAACGTGCCAGTTGTCACTTCTTGCCGGTTTTATATATACAAAAATAGAGGGCGCGTAAAGAAGACTAGAGTTGCCAGGAACAGACATGATCCTTCTAGAATCTCATGACGTGTTACTAGCGTCACGTGACTTCCGCTGTCGTAACAATATCTAAGTATCTTAGTAGAGTCCCTACTGAGATATCTGGAAATAAATTATTCAAATATTAGTCATGAAGAAACCGCAAAGATCTCTTCGTCAACCAATTAATTTTACAAATAAGTCATGTGTGAAATAAAACAAGATTCCATTTTGATGCTCCAGTTTCAACCATGACAGAATTGTGGACCCTATGAATTCTCAAAATTTAGAGTGAAGAAGTTTAATCAACATTTTGAAAGAGCTTGATCTTTCAGACTGGTCGGTTGGTGAGACTGGTGAAGAGTGGAGAGCTTGAAGTCTAGCTGAGCTTCCCGCCAATATAAACAACGAGATGGTTACTTCTATTGTATACTGACGATATATCCTCTCTTTACACTTTCCTATTGGAACTTTGCAATTCACAGTTTACTGAAGCTATTAAAATATTATTTTCTCTTCCATTCTCACAGTATAAAACAGATGAACAAAAAATATTAGCAGCGTGTCGTGACAGATTGAGAAGGCAAAAAGTGCCAGCACATGCACTTGAGTTTGATGGTCATATGAAGAAAATATTCAAACATGTAAAAGAGAATGCCGCTGTTAATGGGGCCACCGACATCTTCTAATCCCCAGTGGCACAGCGGTATGTCTGCACACTTACAACACTTGAAATCGGGTTTCGATACCAGCAATGGGCAACGCACAGATAGCCCATTGTGTAGTTTTGTGCTTAATTACAAACAAACAGACATTCTGTTGTTCTTCAACCTAAATAAAATAATGTTGACGTTTTTTTTTCATTTATTGGTTTGTAGTCCCATGGAGAATGTGTTAGTTAATTTTTTCTTTACAAATAAATATGTTTTGATAAAATCTTCGTTTCAATACAAAGTAAAAGGTATTGTTTTGTGCATATAAGATCACAGTTGCAATTAGTACTAAAATGGATGACTGTCTTATATATGACTTATCTAGCATTTTTTTGCATGCTACTTTGTAATCCCATAGAGCATTAGTTCTCAAACATATTTGTTCGCAAACCACCTGATTCTTTTATCTTTTTAGATCACAATGCAATCTATACATTATACTTCCATTTCCTTTCTGTACCTACGCAACCTAAATATGCTCGTGAACCAGAGAATGAAAACCGCTGCCATACAAAATATTGTTACGTCTCCGTTTGTTAATTAATTTTCCGTAAATTCGTTTCGACGAAACTTTAGCGACACAAGTCCTTTCTTAAATAAAACTGGTTTATTCTTTCTGAATATAACTTTGCGATACACTTAATTTCAACAGTCGCGCTATAATTCTCAACGAATGTCTCACGTGCTCGACATCAACAATACTCAATTACACACTCTCTGACTGCAGTTCAATTACTCATTACCTCTGTTGTCTCGTCACGTTGTCAACGTCTTATATACACAAG